TTGCACACTGAAAGTACTGGGCACCAGCTGTCAAGCTTCTGTCCTCTGAGAAAAGCTTTTTCTGTTCAGAGAAAACCCACGGCAGGCACCAGGCTGGTCACGCGATGGCGAGGATTTTCCTCGGCACTGGCAGCAGAGGCGGACAGCACAGTCACTGCTCCTACTTCCCGTGATACCAGAATCCGCGTGCAGTCGTTCCATATGTGCCTTTCCCGTGTACTATAAAAAGTTGCACCGAAACAAGTTCATATTTTTAATCCATCTTCTACAAATGCTTAACAGTATCCTTGCACACGCACTCTAAATCTGCATATAAGTCATTAGAACTAAAAGGAGTGTAGCGAAAGTTCAATGTATTTCTATATCTTGGTGACAAACGGCCAGAAAATTGATTTAAAAATAGTTTATAAGAGCATAACGATACCAAATATTGACCAAAAGCCCCCAAAACTTAGCAGAAGTCCAAAATATTTAAAGAGAAAAAAAGAAATTTCATTAGAAAATATTTTTAAATTGATAATTTACTCATACCATATTCATGACATGGAAGAAAGAATATTGTAGATATGAGTTCTCTTCTAATTGGTCCATAGAGCCCATGCAATCCCACACAAAACCACAACCTTTTTTTTTTAAAGATTTATTTAATTTTTTGAAAGGCAGAGTTACAGAGAGACAGAGACAGAGAGAGAGAGAAAGAGAGAGGTCTTCCATCCGCTGGTTCACTCCTCAAATGGCTGCAATGGCCACAGCTGCACAGATCCGAAGCCAGGAGCCTGGAGCTTCTTCCAGGTTTCCCACGCTGGAGCAGGGGCCCAAGGACTTGGGCCACCTTCTACTGCTTTCCCAGGCCATAGCAGAGAGCTGGATTGGAAGTGGAGCAGCCAAGACTGGAACCAGCGCCCATATGGGATGCCGGCATGGCAGGTGGTGGCTTTACCCACTATGCCACAGCCCCAGCCCCTCCAAGGACGTTGAGAACCAGGAGAGCATATTTTCTCTTCTTCCAAAGTGTCTCAGACCTGGCTTTTCCAAATCAGCCTATCAACACCCTGTTGGGGGTGCCAGCGCTTTGGCGTAGCAGATAAATCCACCACCTGCAGCGCCGGCATCCCACAGGGGTGCTGGTTCCAGTCCCGGCTGCTCTACTTCCGATCCAGCTCTCTGCTGTGGCCTGGGAAAGCAGCAGAAGATGGCCCAAGTCCTTGGGCCCTGCACCTGTGGAGACTGGAGAAGCTCCTGGCTTCAGATCTGCACAGCTCTGGCCAATGCAGCCATTTGAGGAATGAACCAGTGGATGGAAGACCTCTCTCTCTTGCTCTGCCTCTGCCTCTCTGTAACTCTGCTTTTCAAATAAATAATAAATCTTAAAAAAAAAAAAAAAAACAGTCCTTGGAAAGCTGTCATCACAATGACAGTGCGGTGCCAGCATAGAGTTGCTGTGAGACCAGCAGAGATGAAAAAGATGGACACACACCTTGTTTCTGTGGCCCCCGCGCTAGTGAGAGGCAGCACCGCCAACCAGCAGGGAGATGGTGGCATCCCCGGAAAACGGGCAAGACCCCAAGTAGAGCCCTCAAACTACGCACGTGGGAAACAAGTTCCTCTCAGCCAAGGCAGGAAATGTCCCCTCGGAGCCAGCTGCTGGGGCAAGGGTGAGGGAGGTGGCTGTGCAGCCCAGGCAGGCGTGCACAGCAGGGGAAACTCAGGCAGGATCGGAACACGCCCGTGGTGCCTGGCATCTCACAGCAACCCGACACAGCAGGAGTGGGAAGCCGCAGGGGCAAGTGAACAAAGTGTGCTGCGTCTTGGAGTCTGCAGAGCTATAGAGACAAATCAAAGGGCTGGTGCCGTGGCACAGCAGGGTAAGCCTCCGCCTGTGGCACTGGCATCCCACATGGGCGTCGGTTGGTGCCCAGGCTGCTCCACTTCCAGTCCAGCTCCCTGCTAATGTACGTGGGAAAGCAGCAAGAGATGGCCCAGGTGCTTGGGCCCCTGACCTGTGTAGGAGACCTGGAAGAAGCTCCTGGCTTCGGGTCGGCCCAGCTCCAGCCATTGCAGCCATCCAGGGAATGAGCCAGTGGATGGAAGACCTCTCAGTCTCTGTCACACACATACTCTCTCTCTCTCTGTAACTCTGCCTTTTGAATAAAATAAATCAACCTTTTAAACAGTTAAATAAAAAATTAAAATTCATTAAAAATTAAATTTAATTAAAATTAAATTTAAAGATTTAAAAAGAAATCAAGAGCCCCTCTCAAAAAAACCCCACACCTTTTAAAAATAGAAATAAGAACGCTACCAAGCATTAAATGGTCACGGAGTTTGAGATAACCATTGTGAGCACGGATTTAAATATTAACGAGATGAAAGCATCAAGGAGCAGATGAAACGGTGAAGGCTACAGTTGCTCCAACGTAGGAATAATTTCGCCTAAAATAATTGGGAAAAAAAGTGTTTGGCTATAAAACAGGATAAAGGTAGAAGTGAATCTGCCATTTCAAAGCACACAGCGACTATGGCTAAGAACCCACAGCACTCACATCTGTAACTTTCTCCATTACTTCGTCACAACAAGGCTGCATCTGCCTGGTAAAGCCAACCCCATAACAGGTCGATAGTCCAAATCTTAAGTTTAATAAAACAAAAGCCACCATGGACAAAGTTAAAAGACAAGGAAAGTATATTTCTGCTTTTCAGAATATTTAGTAAATCCTCCCATAGCTGAGTGAAAGGACAAACACCTCAAAGAATCAGCCAGCAAGGGAAGAGGGAATTTAAATGGTTGTTGAACACATGAAAACTTTCATCAGTTTCCTGTGTAATCAGGAAACAGAAACCGAAACAAGACGCCCCTTGCGATCCGTCGTCACCTTTGCCAAGTTTGGCTGAACGGGGGAAGACAGCGTAGAATGCACTGATCCAGCCAGCAAATCGTAGTACTCTTTGTCTCAGTAATTCCATGTGTTTGGTTTTTGATGTAAGATAAATACTTGTATGAGAAAGAGAGAGAGAGAGAGAGAGAGTGCACGAGAGACAGAGAGCACACGAGAGAGACAGAGAGAGAGTGCACAAGAGAGACAGAGAGAGAGAGCACAGAAGAGAGAGAGAGCGCGCACGAGAGAGACAGAGAGAGAGAGAGAGAGAGCGCGAGCGAGCATTGGTATTACAGCTGTTGATGAAAGCGAATAATTTGGAGTCTAAATGTGCATTCCTAGGGAGCTGGATTAAAGATTATGGTACATAGAGCTGGTGTTGCCCCATGGGTAAAGCCACAGCCTGCAGCGCCAGCATGCCACACGTGCACTGGTTGGAGTCCTGGCTGCTCCACTTCCAATCCAGCTCTCTGCTATGGCCTGGGAAAGCAGTAGAAGGTGGCCCAAGTCCTTGGGCCCCTGCACCCGCATAGGAGAGCTGGAAGAAGCTCCCGGCTTCGGATCAGCTCAGCTCTGGCTGTAGCATCCATTTGGGGAGTGAACCAGTGGGTGGAAGACCTCTCTCTCTCTGTCTCTCCCGCTTTCTCTGTAGCTCTGCCTTTCAAGTAAGATAAATAACTCCTTTTTTTTTTTTTTTTAAAGATTACGGTACATAAATTCTGTGGACTAGCATGCAGCTGTGAAAAACAATGAGGTAGAGCTGCATGTACTAATACAAAAAGACCTCTCAGTTTCCACTACTAAAATAACTGGAAATGCAAAACGCAGAACACATGCCGTGTAACATTATCTCATTTGTTACAGAAGGAGAGCATAAAGTATACGACTGGACTGCAAAAGTTAATGGCAAAATGGCATCACAAGAAGTTATTTTCGGTGCCAAAAAAATTCTTGAAATCCATGATAGATTTTTTTTCATAATATGGGTTTGCAATGAACTTTTTGAAGACACCTTATATGTATGGACTTCAAATATTTTCTTTACCCAACAAAGACCCTTATCTTTTAATTCAATGTTCATGAACTTTTTGAAGTGCCCACATATATTTACAAAAACCAATTATTTACATAAATGCATAGTACATTGTGATTTAATGCTATAACTAGTACTCAAACAGTATTTTTCACTTTGTGTTTCTATGTGGGTGCCAACTGTTGAAATCTTTACTTAATGTATACTAAACTGATCTTCTGTATATAAAGAGAATTGAAAATGAATCAATGTGAATGGAAGGGGCGAGGGAGAGGGAAAGGGGAGGGTTGCGGGTGGGAGGGAAGTTATGGGGGGGAGAAGCCATTGTAATCCATAAGCTGTACTTTGGAAATTTATATTCATTAAATAAAAGTTAAAAAAAAGATAAGGAAGGCGAAGCCCAAGACTGGGGGTGGAATCTGAAGGGGGAGCTGAGGAAGGGGATTTTTTTTCTATCTGCTTCTGCATTGTTGGGAATTTTATGAGCAAAAATGTAGAATGCGTTTCTTTCTATTGAAAACGTAAGACATCAAAAATATTATGCAATGTCATTTCTGAAGCCACTACTGGGAAAAGGATAGGATTTCTGGGACATTTCTCGCCAGAGGTGTCACTCATCCAGAAACGGAAAATTAGAAGCGAAAATTGAAGCTCTCTGCCGGCAGCTGCCCGTGGTGCCCGCGGGCCTGGCTTTTCTCCTCCAAGCTCAGACCTGGGCTGTTCCCCAGGGTTTGAACACAGGCCAAGCGCTTCCTCTGGGGCTTGTACTTGCTCAACTTCCTGGGCGGCACGACCTGTGGGACCCCTGCTGCGGGGACTGCTGGGGGGGGTGGGGGGGGTGGGGAGGGGTGGGGGTGGGGGGCCAGTGCCGCCGGGCCGCCGGCCAGCAGGAAGTAGGAGCTACTAGGAGCTACAGAACTAGAAAGTCCCGGGGCCCTGGACGTCCTGCAACCTGCCAAAGGCCCATTTCCTCTGAAGCACCCTTGGCTTATTATCACTCCACATTCCCCAGTTCTCGGGCCCGAGACCACAGCCACTGAGGCTGCCCCCTGGACAGAGAGGCGGTTCCAGCAAGGGCAGTAAGAACTCACCTGGTGGAAAGATCGCTGCCACGGCCGGCCATCCCCCTGCCCCTGCCCCTGCCCGGAGCGCAGCCTCTGATCCCTCCAGGCTCCCAGCCAGTGCCCTGCCTGAGCAGGAAGTCTGGGGGGGACGGACCCAAGCAGGGGCAGGCTCCGCCCAGATGGTGAAAAGAGAAGTGAAAGTATTGTTCTTCAGTTTCAGGAGGCTGTGGACACGCCCCCCCCCCCCTCCAGCTCTCTGCAAGGGGCTGTCAGCTTCCCTGGAATGCGGCAGTCAGGGCCTGGAGCACAGTCCAGGGGCACCCCAGGACCAGCAGGGTCAGCTCCAGGGAGCCCACTCCTGTGTGTGCAAACAGAGCAATTGACAACACTCCCTGAACCCAAATTGTCCTCAGTTGCTTCAGCCTTCTTAGAGGGGGCACAGTTGACACAGAGAGGGGAGGGGCTCACACGGCTGGGGTGGGGTGGGTACAGGGAAAGCCAGAAACCCCTTCTCCAGACCCACAAGGGCCGGGTCCTGATGTGCATGCCAGGACAGCGCACGTGCTGGGTGCTGTGTGCTAGGGAGGGGCTCCCCCATGTTCCTGGAAGAGAGCCCCAAGACGGCCATGGCTAACAGTTTGGGTACCTGGGACTGTGGGGTACTTTTCAACAGCCAGGGGGTGATGAAGAGACCCCTGGAGAGGGGGGAGCCGAGACCAGAGTGCAGAGTCCCCCCCATCCCCGCCCTGCCCCTGGGCCAAGGCTGATTCATCCTTCCAAAGACTTCCTGGATGCCCTGGGCATCCAATCCCAGGTGAGGGAGGGGAGCCAGGAGCAGGTGAGAATGGAGCCGTAACACACAGCTGCGGAGCAGAAGTCCAGGCGGAACGGAAGGCAGCGACAGGGAGGGGCGAGTGGAATCCAGAGCCCAAGGGGAGCCGGGGCAGGCGGCCAGTGCACTAGAGCAATGGTTCCAACCACAGAACCTGACTACTTCCTGCTGTCAGAAAGGGCACCTGCCCCGTTACCCTTGAAAATCCGGGGTGAGGGGGATCCTCCTGTCTCTCCACTTTTGCTCTTCTTTTCCCCAGGGGAGCAAGATCAGCCTGGGGGCTGGCACTGTGGTGTAGCTGGTAAAGCTGCCGCCTGCAGTGCCAGCATCCCATATAGGCGCTGGTTCAAATCTCAGCTGCTCCACTTCTAATCCAGCTCTCTGCTAATGTGCCTGGGAAAGCAGTGGAGGATGGCCCAAGTGCTTGGGCTCCTGCACCAGCCTGGGAGACCTGGAAGAAGCTCCTGGCTCCTGGCTTTGGATCTGCGCAACTCTGGCCATTGCAGCCATTTGGGGAGTGAACGAGAGGATGGAAGACTTCTCTCTTTCTTTCTTTCAAATAAATAAATAAATAAATAAATAAATCTTTTAAAAAAAAAAAAAGGTCAGCCTGGTTGGGACATAGTGGAGGACACTGGTGAGGACATCTTTCCCACTTTCCCAATGTGCAGGACCTCTATGCCTACAGGTGCTGCCCACACATGGGTCTGTCTCATGCACATCCTCTCTCTCTCTCTCTCTCTCTCTCTCTGCCTCTATGGTAAGCGGAGTGTCTACTGAGTACAGGTATCCTCTGCTCCTGGCCTCCATGGAGCATGGTGGTGCAAAGCCTGGTGCAGACAATACCAGCCTGCCCTGGTGCCCCCGGCTCCTCCCTCTGCCACCAGTGCGCTGGCACCGATGTAAGCATTCTTGCCTTTCCCTGGGTCTGCTAAGCTCAGCACATGGAATTAGAGGCCAGTGGGCTGCAGACAGGGCAGGGAAACCCACAGGGGTGGATTTTCATGTGTTCCAGAAAGTTATGTGGGGAGCAACTCGGACTAGACTAAGTTACTGGAATTAAGACTTATTCTAGGCCGGCGCCGTGGCTCAATAGGCTAATCCTCCGCCTTGCGGCGCCGGCACACCGGGTTCTAGTCCCGGTTGGGGCGCCGGATTCTGTCCCGGTTGCCCCTCTTCCAGGCCAGCTCTCTGCTATGGCCAGGGAGTGCAGTGGAGGATGGCCCAGGTGCTTGGGCCCTGCACCCCATGGGAGACCAGGAAAAAGCACCTGGCTCCTGGCTCCTGCCAGGATCAGCGCGGTGCGCCGGCTGCAGCGGCGGCCATTGGAGGGTGAACCAACGGCAAAGGAAGACCTTTCTCTCTCTGTCTCTCTCTCTCACTGTCCACTCTGCCTGTCAAAAAAAAAAAAAAAAAAAAAAAAGACTTATTCTATGCATCTGCTCTCCCACAATATGGTGCTGGGAGAGGAGACAACAGCTTCTACCCAGCTGCCTCTCACCAACTTGACAAGCTGCAGGAGCTGCTCCTGATTGGAGGAGAGCAGCGTACTCGGCGTGTGGGCAGCCGAGTTGGGATTGGTGGAAGAGGACTATAAAGGAGGAGAGAGACGGCATGCATCAGGAACATCTAAGGGGAACATCTATCTGAAGGAACATCTGTGCAGCCCCCGAGAGAGCCGGCCGGCGGTGTGCCGCTCCCCCGCGGAAGTGGGGAATGTGGCAGGGGGAACCGCCCTTCCACGGAGGTGGAAGGGACGGTAGCCAACCCGGGAAGAACCAGCAGCAAACCCGGGGAGGGCTGAGCAGACAAAAGAACAGCGCAGGGTCCTGTGTCATTCCTCCACGAAGACGGGGAGCGACAAGTTAGGTGTGCACCAATTCTGCAGGAGTAGGGACGGCTGACGAAGGTTCTGGGACTCTCAGCGGGCTAGGCAGTCACTGACCCAGAAATGGTCAGACCCCCCTGGGGGAGGGAAAGGAACAGGCCCAGGTAAAGAAGTGGGCGATGTGAAAGAAAGGACGCAACACCTGGGGCATTTTCCATGGCTGCAGGGAGCAGTCCAATGGGCACTATCTCTAGCTAGTGCAGCCTGGGAGGCCACAGGCAGGGCACCTGACAAGAGGTGGCAGGCCTTGGAAGCCTCCGCAACAGCAGCTTCAGATCAGACTTCAGGAAAAGAAGTGATTCCGCGACTCAGCCCCTGTGGGGATGGGAGCTGGATCCAGCGTCTGGGGCCGGAGAGTCCAGAGGCAGCTGCAGCAGCGGTAGCCACTGGGGCCTATGGACAGAGAACCTGGCCACACTCCTGTGCACGTGGCAGAGCCACAGAGCTACACACGTCAATCAGAGCCGCGCGCCTGGTTTCCCCGCCCTCTCCGTTCTTCTGGGGGAGACTTCTCCGACCGGGGGCCCTGATGGGCAAGGTCTGCTCCTTGTTGAGTCTCCCTGGAGTCATCGTCTGCAGAGACCAGGGATCCTCCAAGCTCAAGTGCATGGCGACAGGGACTGGTATGGGGGTGGGGTGGGCTGTGGTTGTTGGAGCAGCCTGCAGCTATGTGGATCAAACCAATTCTGGGGAATACTTTTAGGGATGTCTATTTATTTATGTGAAAGAATTCTATATAGAGAGGGAGATACACAGACAGAGAGACAGAGGGGAGAGGGAGGGAGAGAGGGAGAGGGAGAGGGAGGGGGAGAGGGAGAGAGAGGGAGAGAGATAATCGATCTTCCATCTGCTGGTTTACTCCCTAAATGGCCATAGTGACCAGGAATGGGCCAGGCAGAAGCCAGGAGCTTCTCCTGGGTCTCCCATGTGTGGGCGCAGGGGCCCAAGCGCTTGAGTCATCTTCGGCTGCTTTCCCAGGCCATCAGCAGGGAGCTGGATCAGAGGTGGAGCAACTGGGACACGAACCGGCACCCATACAGGATGCCGGCATCACAGACTGCGGCTTTACCTGATACGACACAACACCAGCCCAGTGATGTCTTCACTGCCACCTGCCTTAAACAGTGTCCCAAGTCCAGCTGTGAGGAGGAATAAAGCTAGCGTTTCAATCCCCATCTGTGCATTTTGCTTATGTCTGAGTTGGTCTGGAACTCAAATAGGAGAAAGGGATATTGTGTGGGGGTGGGAAAGGGACTCTGACACCCTGGAAGTGTTCAGGCACATGGGGATGGATGAGACCCCTCTCTGTGGGGTCTCAGCTGCCTGCGCCCCAAATGGGCAAAGAGGTGGGGGGCAGTCACAGCTCCTCCCATTTTTCCAGGACTCAGGTGACAATACTGCAGCGTTCAGAAGAGCCCAGATCTTCCTGTCTCCCCCAGGCCTCTGCTTAGCAGAAGCTCAGTGGTTGGTGTACAAGAGCATGGGGCTTTGGGCACTGGAGGCTGTGGGGCCTATAAGGGGCAGACGGATGGCTGGGCGTGGAAATGTGATTCTTGGTGGGGAGTCGGAAAGAGGCAGAGCCCCAGGGGACATGGCCCCCTTCTGAAGGTCTGGGGCCATCGGTGGGAAGCACCCCCACAGAAGTCCCATGCACCCATGAAGCAGTGGGGGAAGGGGCTGGCCGGGGCCACATTCCCCATCCCCACCCCCAGGCTGCATCATCACCCACAGCTCTTCCTGTCGCGTCCTCCCTGAACAAGCACAGACGGCCCCTCTGCCCTGGCTACGGGTGGTCAGCCCCAGACTCCCCGCGGGTCAGACACAGCACTTCATGCCTCTTCCCAGGACCAGCCAGTCGGATCCTGGGCACTCAGCAAGGGGCGGGGCGGGGGGGGGGGGGAGCCTTGGAGCAGCCAGGGGTGGGCGTTGGGGGAAGTGGGGTGGGGGTGTTGAGCCCATCCCCAGCAGCCAGGTCCACACTCCCCTCTAGTGGACACTCTTGGCATTACCGTCTTCTTAGAACTAGGTTCTGTTTATGGATGTCAACAGGCACCCAAAATCCTTTTCAAGATGACAATTCATCAGGCACCTCAAAATTTGTAACAGAAGCACAATTTTTCCCCTAAATAAAGGTAGGCCGATTTAGGGGTACATTTCTGAGATAATTTTAATACGAGGAAGTTCAAGAGCATAAATGGGTTTGTGGTCTAGACCGCGAATCCTGGGTTCCAGTTGAGCGAAGCACAGTGGCTCTGGCCCCTCCCAACCCAGAGAGCGTCCTTCTGTCCTGGAGCCCCAGGCGGGCCCTGCTCCGTCCACCTCCCTGCTCCCTCCCCTCCAAGGCCCCACAGGGTTCCCACAGGGACCCTCCCTGGCTCAGGGACTTAACTCACTGGTGAGTAATTTAAATAATTTGCAATTAGTAAACAGGCTGCAAAAACGGGTGGTGCGCTATGGACTTTTCATCA